TACAGGGCTGTAGGGTGGTTGCGGTAAGATTTTCCTGTGAGATTCTCATAGGGAACAGCTCTAGCCACCTCGAAGAATGAACAGGTGTTTGTGGTAGAGAAGTAACAGGTATGATGATGGAGGAAGAAAATCCTCCGTGCAACTTTCCTGGCTTTTTTCTCACCAATATAGTTTTCAGTTTTCGTAAAAGGGGGGCTAAGTCATAAGCTTGCATGATATCTGGGTCGTTTGAGAAAATCTATCGAGAATACTTCCCTTGGAATTAACATAAAACAGTCCCCATAACCGGAGGAAACCTCTGCCTGAATTCATCTTTGAAGTCTTGCCTGCCTCCCTGAGTACATTGGACCCATCGGAAAATTGTTGAGTGTGGGACAGCATTCCCACAAATTCACTATGAATCTTCAGTGATTCAGGTGGATGTTTTGCTAGAAATGTAATATTAGTTTGGATCTCCAAATCATTTTTTCCATGGCACAAGAAGTATCCTTTTGGGGTTGTGTTTTCTGAAGGCAGGCTAGTCGGATTAAGACCAGTATATTACTGGGCAAACTTGTCTGCAGCCATCCACTGGTGTCAGAGACACGTTGAAACGCATTGTGTTTGGAATAAACCCCTGCTGTATAAACTGGAACCCTGGCAGCAATACTTTACCCTTGAATTTTGTCTTCTGCAACCTTGTTGCACATGTTTCTCATCCTTGTAGTTCTTTAGTGGATTTCTTAGATCTTTATGCAAGTTCACGATGCCCGCAATATGCTAAAAACCAAACCAGCCTCTGCTACCCAGTCAATTTAGACTCATAATAACCCTACAGGACAGAGTAGAACTCCCACGTAGGTTTCGGGTCCTGTCACTTTGCTGAGAGAAGAAGGCCTGTGTTTCTCTCATAGAGCCCCTGGGAGGTTCAGACTGCCAGCCTTGTGATTAGCAGCCCAACACAGAACCCATTGTACTACCACGGCTCCTTCCCGCAAGGAAACAGTTTCACCTCTTGAAATGTCTTTCCCTCTTGCCTGATTGCCTTAGCTAGATGTGCCTGGACAAAGTTAAACAGACATGGTGAGAGCAGCCATCTCCGTCCTGCTCCTGATCTGAGCGGAGAAGCGCTAAGTCTTTTACAATGAACTCTAATGCTATTTGGGGTCCTTTGTAGCTACTTCTAGTTTGTTGAAAACTGTATCATGATAAGGTTATGGATTTGGTCAAATGCTTTTTCTGTGTCTATTATGATCATAGGAGTTATTGTGCACCAGGTATCTTACATTAATTGATTTTCAAATATTAAACCAACCATACATTCCTGGGATAAATTCCACTTTGTCATGGGTATATGTTCTTGGATTCAGTTTGCTAATAATTTGTTGAATTTTTGCATCCATATTTATGAGG